CGGATTCACTCAAAGTTTTTAAAACGTGTCTACTACAAGATATTGTCCTCTTTGTGATTTTTCTTTCGAGCTCCCTCAAAGTTCTAGAAAAAAAAGAGAATGTTTTTGTTTTTTTTTAGTTTTTCCTTTCGGACTTCTCTCTAAGATTTGTAGTGAGGGAGATATTTTTATACCAAATGTTTGCACATTGCAGTGTCTTTTTAAAACATGTATAATAGAGAGAGAGGTTTCCATGCTCTAGTAAAGAATGTTTTGTTTTCTCTTCGAGAAGATTTAGGGTTTGATTAGGATATAAGGAAGAAAAAGAGAGAGATTTGAAAGAAATGAAAAGGGAAAGGAGGGAAAGTTAAAGAACATCGGAAAAGGTTGAAGATGAAGTGCAGGGAAGTATGATACAAAATCAAAATGAATGAGGTTGTCGGCTGTGCTGTCCCCTCTTCTTGTAAGTAATGGAAAATTGGTTTTGGTTTAGGTTTAGGTTTAGGTATGTGTAGGGTGCCCTGTCCTTGTTACAGGACCCTCCTCTGATCATCATGCACAGCCCCACCACCACCACCACCACCTCCACCCTCCTCCTCCTCCTCCTCCTCCTCTTCCTCCTCCTCCCCTTTTCTTTTCCAAGGGACCCCCTGCCCCACATCCACGCCAGGTGCCCTCCCTTTTGTCCTTTTAACTTCCCTTCTACTTTTCCCCTCTTCTTTTTTCATTTTTTCTTTTCTTTACATTTTCTAATTAGAATGCTAAATTAAATTCATGACCTGACATTCTACAATACTGTCGACATAAATATAAATATAAAATGACACGACATTTATAAAATGACACGACATAACATGGAAGGTAAGATTTTGAACTATGACAGACAGTGATTAATCGCTACGACGAATTTGATTTGGATTTTGAAAATAATTTGTTTGAAAAAAAAAAAACAGGGAAAATGTAGGGCAGAATGCATGTGAAGGTCTGCAAATAACATTGATGAGGAATGAGGAGGAGGAAATTGATGTAAAAATGAAAGAAAATAAAAATGATGATGAAGTTGTCTGAAAATATGAATCCCCATGTGGGTTTGTCAACTACTTTGGTGTTACCACTCACAAAATCCTCAACCATTTTTTTTCATAACTTGTTTTTCAAGCCATATTCATCAATACCTCATAATATAATCCCTTCTTTTATTTCACCTTCTTTTATTTCTACCTTCCAATTATTCCGTTCTTGATCGATTCTACAGATATTGTCATCTTTAGACTTTTACTCAAATATTTAACATGCGTATGTTAGTCTAAGGTTTCCACACTTTTATAAATGATGTTTTGTTTTCCTTCACAACAAACGTGGGATCGTAGGATCTCACAATAATTTAGCGGTGAAGAAATATGGATCCATATATTTTTTTAAAATTAAGAATATTAATAAAAAAAATTTACTACTTTTATAAAGTTTATGAACTATCATAAAAATAAATTTTATACTTTAAAATTGTAAATTTATTAGAGATATAAAATGCACAAATGAAAAAAGGAAAGAGTAAATGAATTAAAATTATATTTTAAACCATTTTTTAAAAAAAGTACGAATTTGTTTGCAATAAATTATCGTATTTGTGAGTTTCAATACAACCGTTCTCTTTGCACGCTTTTCTATAATAAAACCATAGCTGAAATTTCACTGGTTTGATGACGTCAACATAATTAATCCAGTCAATCAATCAATCAAATAATTCCAATTAAGTCCCGCAAATTTCCGTGCCAAATCTAACGGCTTATTATCTCTCATCACTACGATCCTCCATAAGGTGCGTCGCACGCAGCCATATCTTAATCCTCAATTTCTCTTCTAATTTTAATTTTCTTTTTAAAAAAAAAAGTTTTCAGAAATATCTATTTTGTTTTTATTTTCTTAAAAAGTGGTCCAAAAATATTCAAAACGTCCATTTTCGAATTTCAATTTTTAAAAATTGTCAGTTTGATCCTACCATTAATTTTCTATTTAATACTCACTCATTTAATATTTCTCTCAAATTCAAAAAATTCAAAAAATAATAAAAATAGTGAAAATCTGACCTAACAATTAAAATTTAAAAAAATATAAAAGAAAAAAAAAATTAAGTTGCGTATGTATTAAGCACTGTATACTTGACATCATAATCATTTCATGAAATTTTGTCTCATAAATTTAAAAATAAAATATTATCAATTCGTAGAAAATAATGAAAAAGTTAACATTTGATATTCCAATTTATTGACCTAAAAACAAAATTATTTATTTTCTTTGGTAAGCATTAAAGCAGATATTTTAGAAAATTTGGAAAGTTAGTGGGACAAAAATCAAAATTAAAGGCCATCCTAATTAATTAATGAGTAGAAGGATATTTATTGATGATTATTATTATATTCAATTTGACTTTTTCCAATCCACCATTAACATTGACTTATTTGAATTAGTGGAAGGACACGTGGCGCGTAGGATGAGGATTGAGACACACGTGTACGGCACGTGGAAGAGGTGCCATCAGTTCTGATAAGTACGAAACAGGCGGGATTGTAATTAAATGTGGAGATTAAGGAAGACAAACATATGTCCGTCCCGTTGTGTAAATATCATAGCTTTCCAAGGATATATTTGACCACATGAAAATTACTATTTATTATTATTAATTCTCTTTTTTCGTTTGTTACAACTATTGCCATAGTTTTGGTCGTTCGCCTTCCACGTTGCCCAAAGAATAATTAAGATTTTTGATGATAATTTAGGTCCCTTCGAAAATGATGTTGCCTTTTTTAATAAATAATTAAGCATCTTTCTAAATTACAATTTTAACCCTTGCAACTATGTTAATAAAAATATTTATATATTTTCCAACAAATTAAAAAACAAAAATCATCGTCTATATATTTTTACATTTATGTCAAATTTGGAATTTATGTATATTAATAAATAGTGTTTATCCTAATGTTTGAAAACCATGGATGTATATCAACATAACATCGACAACCAAGGGAATGAAAAAATTAAAAGTTTTGTAAAGTTTTATAACGACAAAATCAACTAAAATATAAACATATATTAATAAAAATGTATAGTTGAAATTTAAAAGGCTAAAATAATAGATATTTTGAAAACTAGCTATTTTTTCTTTGTTGGCTGTCTAATTGTTTTGAAAATTACATCCATTTATTATTCACAAATTTATATTTTGAAAAGGTTGAAAATATTAATTTTAGATTATTAAATGATTTTAATTATATCCTTAAATTTATAAAAAAAAATTATTTCCAATTCTTGAATATGGAAATTATTTCATTAGAGATTTTTTTTGCAGTAAAATGAAGGGCATAAATTCACTCGAATTTATACACGCGCATTAATGAAACATGACACGTCCCATGATTTTCATCTATTATTATTCAATATTTTATAAAATATCCTCTTTTTGTTATTTCAGTAAATTTAGTTGCCACTATAACTCCAAATTCTAGTTTTAACTTTTGTATTTATTGTTGGCTTTTATTATTATTATTATTATTGATGTTTGGTTCAAACTTACTTTTAATTAATAACAAATTTTAGTAAAATTGAGAATAACAATTATAATGATTTCTTAATCATTTAAATCATAATTAAAATAAAAAAATTACAGTCGAGACAAAATATCTGATTTGATGATGTGACAGTAAAATTAAAATAATGGACAAATCAAATAGGACGCTTGAACAAAGAGTTTTTTTTTTTTCAATATATTTTTAAATAAAATTATTTATAAATCTAATAGTTACTCATTTGTATTATTGTATTATTATATTAAAAAATATATAAAAATAAATTTGAAATTTTATCTTATTATTTATTTTTAATCTCACCTTCCATTTCTCTTTCAACCATGATCAATATTAATTTTTTTTTCTCCATTGTTTCTTCTCTATTTAAACCAATGAGCTTCCCAAATTTTAAAATGTGATTCTTCAATCTTAGTTTGTAAAACCTTTTTATTCTCTAAGCTTCCAATTTTATTTTTCTTATTTGGTACGATAAGAAAATAGTTGTGAGTGCTCAAATTGTAAATTTACTGTGATAGAAAGTTGTGGTGCATTCCTACACAATTTTGTGCTGTGGAAAAGATTGAGTTTGCTCTCGAACTCGTAAGAATATAATTTTTTTTAAGGATTGAACCAAATAATAAGAGATGAATAAATATTTTTTTTTACTATATTGATAATATTAAAAATTTTAAAATTACAAGAATAACTAAAACTACCATTTTGGGAGTAACTTGTAGAAAAAAAAATGCATATTTAAACCGAGAAGGTTAAAAGTTATCTTAAAATTATGAATTTTTTTTGAAGTATTTATAAAAAAAAATGTTTTATTTAAAAAATAAAATTTCTTCTTTCACAAAATCATTCCAATTCATAGGAATCAAATTCATAATAATAATAAATAAAAACAATATATTGATAGAAAAATAAATAAAGAATAAAGGAAAGGGGAAAAAGTGCAATAAAAGCGGTCCATGGTGTTGACAAAATTAAGAAACAGATTACACACAAACGCAGTCAAATTATAGGAGACCAAAATTCACTCAACCACCACAACAAATAAATTATAAAAATACACAAATAAAATTATTAACCGAGTCAACTGGGTCCATAATCCCCGAGTCATAAATTCCCTCAACCCGGTGAATTATTTCTCTATTTCTTTTCTTTTTATTTTAAATTAAAGAAAAATAAAAATAAAATCCCCTCTTTTTTATTTATTACACATACAGAAAGATGTAACCCCAAGTGGACCCCACTCTCTGAAACTTAACCACACACTACAAAACCATAGTTAGAGTTTAAAAAACTAACAAACTTAACTTGGGTTTACAAAACTCAACCCCAGATTTTTTTTTTATTTTATTTTAAATTATTATTATCTTTTAAAAATAAAATAAAAAATAAAATAAAACTTGTTATTATTATTATTATTATTATTATCAACAGTCATCACTGCTCATCATCATCTCCTTTTTTCCTCTTCTTCTTCTTCTTCTTCTGTCTCTCATTTCTCTGGTTTCTGGTCTCCGACTTGTAATGTTCAAACCCAGCGCTTCCCTAAATTTCTGTTTTCTCCCAATTTTCTCCACCAACAATCATCCACTTGGGTTTATTCAAGCTCTACAAATTTTTAATTTTCATTTTAATTCTTTTTTCTTCTAAAGGGTTTTCAGGCTCTTTTAAAAGGGGTGTTTCATTTTTCTTTATTTTAATTCCCCTTTTTTTTTTTTTTTTTTTCTTTGAGTTACACTAAATGTTTCAGACATGGACTTGACTCCTGCGATTTCCACCGCCGTCGCCGCCATTACCACCGGCGGAGGACCCGTCAAATCCCCTGAATTAGACACCGACACACCCATCAAAATCCAACCCACCACCAAATCTCACCCTTTCACCAACGGTGTCCTCAAGCGCCACCATAACACCCCACCGCCTGTCGTCTACAAAGAATGCCTCAAGAATCACGCCGCCAGTTTAGGTGCCCATGCTTTGGACGGCTGTGGCGAGTTCATGCCTTCCTCTACCGCCACCGCCTCCGATCCCACTTCCCTTAAATGCGCTGCTTGCGGCTGCCACCGGAATTTCCACCGCCGTGAGCCGGAGGACTCAATCGCCACCCCGACGACAACCCATATCATTGAGTACCAACCTCACCATCGTCACCACCCACCGCCACCTGCAGCAAATCGAAGCCCAAGCTCTGCCTCTCCTCCACCGATCTCCTCCTCCTACTACCCTTCAGCTCCCCACATGCTTCTTGCCCTTTCCGGCGGACTGCCGGAAAACGCCAGCGGTGGATTCCACCACTCGATTCTGACTCCAAGCCCCAATTCGAGAAAGCGATTCAGAACAAAATTCACTCAAAATCAAAAGGAAAAAATGTATGAATTTGCAGAGAAAGTGGGTTGGAAGATTCAAAAACGAGACGAGGATATGATCCAAGAATTCTGCAGCAACGTCGGAGTAGACAGAGGCGTTCTCAAAGTTTGGATGCACAACAACAAAAACACTTTGGGGAAAAAAGACGGCACCCAGAACACCAACGGCAGCGGTGGCGACGGCGACGGCGACGGCGATGAGAAAATGAACGGCGGCAACGAGCCACACGCCGCCGCAAATGGGTCGTCTTCTTCATCTTGATCTGAATAAATTGATGGATGGATGGATGTTAGCAGAGAGTATCAGAGATAGAAGAGTAAGCATCTTTTTTTTTTTTTTTTTTTTTNATTTTTTTTTTTTTTTTTTTTTTTTATTGTTCTTTTTTGCCCTCTTTTATTTTCTCAAGTTCATTTTCTAATTACATTTCAATATTTTCTCATCCTGTTTTCCATCAAATTAACCAGAACATCACCTTGGAATTGAAATATATGCATAGTTCATCATAAACCCTTCAATCACCACCACTAATCACTTCAATTACCCACATAATCATCTTCTTCTTCCTAATCTCAAAAATTTTAATAATTAAACAAACCCATCATCAGGTAATCATAATTAGTATCGCTAATTAAGCAAATCAATTCTCGATCTTCAATTTTATTACTATTTTAATTAAATCAGATTTAGAGAGAGAGAAGAGGAGAGAGACTTTTTCTTATCTTGTGTCTGCGAGAAAGCAGCAGAAAGCGTTTTGGTTCCTGTAAATTATTCCAGACTATCCCAAGGATTTGAACAACACAGTATTCTTTTCTTTCTTGTTTTTTTTAATTTATGGAATAATTTGTATGATTAATTGAGAATATATGAAAGCTTAGGGTTATATTAGCAAAAGTGGGAACGCCTTTTTAATATTCCTCAAAGAGCAAACAACCAAGCAAAGGCATAGCAATCTTTGTTGTTGTTTGTTAGCGTTTGGGGTTTTTATCCCATAAAATTATATAACAAATTATTTAATTTTTTTGATTAATGTTGGGATGTGGTATTATAATATGTTTCATATTATAAACTTCCCTTTTAAGGTAATCTTAGATACTATATTTTATTTATGTACATTATTTAAATAATAAGGTTGATGATGATGATGATGGGAGTTGTACTTTCAAGTGTCTTGTCTCTTGATTTGCATTATCACTTTTAAGCTTTGTTTAATCTTTTGGTCATTAACTGCTAATTAATCATCTCTTTCCCTATTATTATTATTATTATTATTATTTTAGAAACATAAAGTAGTATTTAAATTCTTTGTATTAAGGAATGAAATGGTGGAGGATGTTATTATTAATGATGGAATTTATGTATTTAAAAAAAGGTTTTTAAAAAATGAAAAAGATGGGAGAGGTACCAAATCCGAAGTTGGTGAAGTGCAATAAAGTTGATAGGGCTACTAAATCGGAAGCCATGGAACCCTCTTTTTCTTTGGATACAGCTGTTTTCATGTGCTTTTCTTTTGCTTTCATACCCCATGCTCGTCTCTTCGACTACCTACCATACATCAGATCCCGGTTGAAAACAAGAACTAACCATTCTTTATTATAAGGATGTGAAAACTTCTCTCCAAGCGTTCAAAAAAGGCAAAGAAGTTAGGCTAGATAATAATTAGGGAGTGGGGATGAGAGTTTATAATTATAATTATAATTCGAAGTTTATAAGTGTCCTATTGCTTCACTAAGACCTTCCAGTTCCATGATTAGAAAGTTGTGAACCTTACACAACACAACCCCCTCTCTTCATTACCCGTGCTCACCAGTTTGTGCCTCTTTTTTGGACTTTCAAACTTGGACAGTTCTTCTTTCTACAAATGCTGGGTAACCCTTATATTAGTGTATGACAGTAATCAATGTGACTATGTTGTATGGGTGTTGGGGAATCTCCGGGCTCAAATGCTAAACCTGTATTTCGAATTCTAAGCATGAGTCTATTGGATCAACTCTTGTTTCGGTGAAATCAAAATGGATCAACGTGAAGGTAGATTCCCAAAATTTCATATGTGGGGGTGGATATATACAAATCAAGTCTAATCCAATCTTGTTTTCCTAAATAAAATCATTGATATTTGATTATGTGAAATATATATCCAAGTATAAGCGTGAAATGCTTCAAAAGTTGCATGATTGGACAGGCGTGGATTCGACAGGAGTCTAATCTTACATCACTTAAGAGGACAATTTATTTGGGTTGTTTAGTTTTATCATTCTCACCTAATATTGATTTTAATTTGCAAAATATTGTGTTTTAATATCAATTGAGAGAAGGATGAAAAAAAGTATGAAATGGGAGTGAACGTAGACATAAATACGTCTATGGTAGCATCTAGTTTAGTGTTACGAATGTATCGTATTTTTTGGTTGCATCATGACACTTGTATGTTTCGGTTCTCACATGAGTGACATAGAGGTCGCAACCTACTCTCTTTATAGTATGTATATCTAAGACTCGATTGAACTCGAAAGAGCTTATTATTCTACCTACGATCTAACAAGTTAGCGTTAAGAATCAGAGAACATGAAATTCAAATGTGAAATGAAAGTGAGAAAAAAAGAGAATATCGCGAATTGGAGTAAAAATGGTGGAAGAAAAGAATGCCTCGCCCAAAAATAGTACAGCGAAACGAAGAGTAAAAAATTCCGCTTACTCACGCGCCTAAAGGCATTGCCCCAGGAGCGTGCATCACATGCGCCTTTACGCTCACGAAGTGGCCGTGGGCTTTTTATTTACTTAAATTTTCTTTAATAATTCGAAATGAGAAAATTTGAGAGCGTCGCTTTTTGTCTTCATATTCATCCTCGTCAGCCTGTAATTTCCCCCTTTTTCTTATTCAAACACAAATCACCACGTGTCATATTCCTTTTGGTCCAAGTGGAATCCTCGTCAGCCTGTTATTCTCCAGTCAACTGCCACGTTATAAAAGCGTACTGTTGGATGCCCGTTTACTGTTGGATTTCTCCTCTAACCCTATTTCATGTACCTTTCTTTTACTTTAGTGTCACATATTCACTAGCTTCTGCTTTAATATCATTTTTAACCTCTCGTATCTAGAAGCTGAATTTGAATTTCAAATTTTGAACCTGAAATACAAATCTAATAATTTGGGTTTTCATGTGATTGGAATCCAATATAAATTGCATAAGAATGGTATGAAATGAAAAGGAACGGTGATAAATCAAATCAAAGTGTTAAAAGAAAAAACTTTTAAGTCCTCTCAATTAATAATAATATTATTACGGGGAAATAAAAGAAATCATAATATAGACAAAAATCATGTGATAAAATTGATGATAAATAGAAAGAAAGTTAGGAGAATTTGTAAAACCAACAAAAGCTAACAAAATATATGCATAGCATGTGGTGTGGAGAAAATAAATACAAATATTAATTTCTTTTTAATATGTCATTACAACACACACACACATCACTTCCCTTTCATTTAATTCATCTTTTTTCAAAATATAGATCATCAAAAAATACAAATTATAAACCAAAATTCCTTTTTTTATTCCTAATATAACTTCTACCTATAATTTTGTTTTATTTTCTTATTTCCCCCCCCCCCCCCCTTTTTTGTTTAAAA